TGTTTGTAGAGCAAGCGGTTTGGCCGTTTTCTGCGGTATATTATTCCTAGTCATTTCTCCCATAAGCGACTGAATCAGAAGAAGGGTGCTCCGGTTTCCTCCACAGTCCAAGGACATGCGGTACAGGTCAATTGGGTAGGCTAAATTGTACGTAGTGTATGTGTGTGAATGGATATTTCCCAGAAATGGGTTGCAGCTGGAAGGGCATCTGCTGCGTAAAAACGTGCTGGATAAGTTGGCGGTTCATTATGCTGTGGCGACCCCGGATTAATAAAGGGACTAAGCCAAAAGAAAATGAATGAATGAATGAACTACGCAGCATCCCTAAATTCACAGATTAAATTTAGGCAAACCATGGCATGCTTTCTGATAAAAAATTTAATACCTTATAAAATAACAGATAAGACTTTTATATACTTTTTAAAGTCCTTAAATTTCTCTAAATTGACTTATCAAATTTTAATACTTTTTAAGACCTTGCAGACACCCTGAACAGGGTATGCATGAATCTGGCATTGCTCTATAAGTTTTCTGCCACTGATTTTTTAAAAGATTTTAAAGAAAATTATCTCATAATTCTCTTGGGATTGTGAATATGCATTTAAATTCAGATTTTCTAATCAGAACTTTGACTTTATGTTTCATGATTGCAAACTACAGTACGGTATACATTAGAATCTAAAAAATGCTGTGTTAATTTAACAAAAATTGGCCGGTTTTTAATGTTACATATTTTAACGTAACCTTTGATCCAGAAATGTTTTTATTGTGCGTGTGTTTGAGTGTATCTTTCTGACAACTTTAAGTTACAGTTCAAACTTCTTGACCTCTGAAAAAAACATGTTTTTCACATTTTGACAGTCCACATTAATATATTAAAAGAGTACATTATTCTGACATTCATTTGGACAGTTCAGTTTGATTAGTCAAATTACTTCTACATTGGTTTTATAAAGAAATTCATTTGTGACAAATAGAGAGATAAAAAAATAGAGAAATGAAAACAACATTTAAACTCTTGTAATTCAGATTTTTAAAGTAAGTTAGTAATTATAAACAAACTACAAATAAGTCTGAATTATCCAATTCAAGTTTTTTATGAGATTATCATTTAAAAATTGTGAGGAAATAAAAACACAATAGATATATATATATATATTTTTATCCTTTCATGCATCCATATTTATGTGCTGTGGACGTTGTCAAAGCAGAAATGAAAATGACTAATCTGACAATTGTGTAGACAAGTCAAATGACCTCTATTAAGACAAATGTTTGTTGAAAAAAAACTTCACATTTTTTAGCCAATATAATGTCACTTCATTTTTTGAAGACTATGAGCTCAGAAGATTCGATAGCCCCCACAAGTGAATGCACCCCCCTTCATTCACCTGTTAATTATTATGGCCTAAAAATGCTCAGGCTCTTAAGTCTGTCTTTGTACAATGCTCTATTTATATTTCAATAGGTAATGCAGATCTATTAGTGCTGGAAATGAAGGTCTTCTGGGAATTATAATTCCTTCAGATAAAAAGCTTGCTGTCTCAGTCGGGTTAATAACACTAAACCAGACAATGCTCAGATAGAGAGAGCAGCTATTTCCCATCTTTCTGCTGTCATTCATGGCCTTGAATTGACCAGTGCATGACTTTGATCCTTGGATCAGTTGTGGTGTTTAGTCATTATACCCAATCTACTCATTCAGAGAGACTCCGCTTCTAAAGATGTGTGCTGTAATAATGGCAGCCATTTATACAGTTTGGCGTTAGTAAGGTGTGTATTTAAGAGTGATTATTAAAAATACAACACTACTACAAAAACACTAATATTGGGAAAAAATACTAGAAATTAAAATGTTTTAATACCTCCAAAACAAACAAAAGTAGCTTCAGGTGCACCGGTGCTCTTTGGATACAGGATTCTTTTAAATATGCTAACAGTCCAAGGCACTCGGAAAATTTAAACATTTTAAAATAAGGAGTCTTTCTGGATCTGCCGGGTTCCACATTTAAATGGAGAATTAGGTTTTCATCATGTCTTACTGCTTCCATGTTGTTGATATTGTAACTGTTTTTTCCCTTTCTGCATTGTCTGTTTGACTTTGGAATTATGCTTTATTATAATGATTCTTTTTCTCCATCTCTCTTCTTACCCCTTAATCTGATGATTGAGTCTTAATATTGGTATTTGTTTATCTTATCCTGTCAAATATTGAATATTTAAATATATTTGTTGTCAATGTCATCCTTATGATAGATAAGTTTGCAGTAGGCGAACATGCGTGCTGTTTTTAATATACTAGACAAGTCCAGTCAAGCTTTATTGTCGTTACGCTACATGTGTGGAAATACAGAGTAACGAATTGTCGTGTCTCACTGGACAATGTCTACATAACTACATAAATGAATCATCAATACATAACTAACATATACTATAAGATACTTAACTTGCATTGTTGCGCAGAGTTTTGTGCAAGTATTAAAGGTAAATGTTGTGCAAAATAGGTATTTACGGTTGGTTATTGTGCGAAAGAATTGTTTGAGGTTGAAGCAAGCAGTGCAACATGATTGTGATACATTTATAGTAAAACTTGTTTTCCTTACTGAGTCCTTGTAAGATGCAGTTTAAATAAAGTGTCAGGTGCGGCAGAAGAGTGTTTCTACAGGTGGTTTTTAAGCCCACTCACCTGTTTCCAAGAGATATAGAGTGTTAAGAAAGTGTCTATAGTGCAAATGTGCAACCTGCTTCAATTAATGTAAATAAAAGCTTTTTAACTCTTCACTACGTTTTCAAGTGCCTTAGAGTGGCATTGTTTGTTGTTATGTTTTTTGATGGTGAAGCTAAACAGGATCCTTCAGAGATCAGTTGTAATCTGCCATCTTTAAAGGACGCAGAGTCTGAATTGGGACACAGATTATAATTGTCTTCACTTTCACTTTAGATCAAATTATTGTCTTGAAAACGACATGGCTGTTAAAGAAAAAAGAATTCTTACTGATTAGGCCCACACAATATATTGTTTCAGCATTGATATCGCAATGTGCGTGTCCACAATAGTCACATTGCAGGATATGCAATGTTGAGTTGGGTTATAATAAATCAGCACAAGAGTTAATACATTTGTGGAGTCACAGCAAAGTATAACCATAAAAGAGTAAAACTTTATTATTCCATCTGTTTTAAAGGGATTTCAAGAGTATATTTTCTAATACATTTGTAAATTTAAAGAGAAATTATTGTACTGATTTAATACAATGAACACAGTGTTATTTTACTTTATTTGATAATTCAATTTTTATACCTGAATACTGTTTGACAATTTGGAAAACCATTAAGCACTGTTTATTTTTTTTTCATTGCTCTATTGTAATTACTTTTGCTCACAATGTTTGTTTTAATTGATACATGATACCCATTACACACCTTTAGGAATTCACACAAATCAATCCTAATTAACAATTTTCTTTCCAAGCAGAGCTATTCAACCCATCTGGTGAAATTGTATTCATATTGCAATTTATATCGCAGAAAAACTAAATATCGTAATGGCAGATTTTTCCAATATCGTGCAGAACTATTACTGATGTTAAACTTTAAATTAGCCTGTTCAGTGAATCTGTCACTGCTTTACACTGAAGAGAAAACTGCACAATCGTACCGAGGCCAAAGTGAAACTCTGAGCTTCTCCCGATGATTCAGTTACATTCTGTCATGGATTCTTATCCTGCTTCACATCTTGGTTAGTTGTTCTTTCCATTATTAAAGCTTTGTGTAGCTCCATTACAACTTCAATGTCATGTCACTTAGTTGCTGATAAAATTAGCCATTACAACACTTGATCCTTGAGTATCGGTTTGAATGGATTTGACTCCAAAATCAAATGCCTAAAACCACTGAAACTTAAAATGAAAGGTAAATGTAAGTTAAATGTTATGTTAACTTTAGCTTTTTAAACTAAAATAAAAGGTAGATTAAACTAAAATGCAACTAAGAACTGAAATGAATTTGTAGTACTAAAACTGCTAAAATTGTTCTGTAACATGTAATTGTTAAATTAAAATAAATGAAAACTAACTGTATTGTACTTCATAAATAATGCTTAAGTGATATTTAATAATATTATGCTGGTTTAAAGAAATCAAGGGAAATTATTATGTTAAAAATAAACATTATTTGGTTGTGTAAATGATGCTGAATTTGTCATACAATACAAAATGTCATACACAATTTTTCTTTTTAATGGACAAAAAGCAATCTGATTTCTGTATGAATCTCTTGGGTGTAAAACATATTTTAATAGAACGATGATTTAGAAGGACCAGATGCTATAATTCTGAAAATGTATTGATGGATATATTTGAAAAGGTTTCTTCCTCAATAATATTAGAATTTTATTGTTATTTAATTGTTATTACTACTGCGTGTGTCAACATTTGAAGTGGGTCAGAAACCTTTAAGAGTAAGTATTTTGAAATTTGAGTGAAAGTTGTCGAATTTGATGAAGGCTCTTGATCCACTTCAGTTGTTGACTACTGTGTATATAATTATGTTCTTATGCTGCCCATTTCAATTGTGATAAATATTTTATTGAAATTATTTTTCTCGAATAGTAAAGCAGAACTTTTTTCCCATCAATATATATGCATTGCTACTGAGATGGTGTTTTTTTTTTTTTTTTTTGTTCATCGTATCACTTATAGCATGCTATGCAAGACGAGTCTTTCTCAAGCTCTTTTTTTCTCACAATAATATAAACGTACATTGTGTTCTAATATTTCCATACAAGTGGCTTAATGTGAGGAAAATTACACGTGTCACTGCATGGAGTTTATAAAGAAAGGCTTTTTATAAATATACCTAAATGACTTGGTGGAAATTTAATTATAGCTTTGAGTGTTCTCACTTAGTCTTAAAAGCTCATGTAATGTATGAGAATATTGCATTTAAATGGAAGTGCTGTAATTAACTAATTCTTTTTCTCTTTATTTCTGTCGTTTCAGGGCACCAATGCCTCTGCTCTGGAGAAAGACATCGGTCCAGAGCAGTTCCCTATTAATGAACACTATTTTGGATTGGTCAACGTAAGTATTAAAACTCTAACTCTGAAATTCCCCCAAAACTGAAAGTTCTGTCATCGTTAGCTCACCCTTCACCTTTCCAAAAGGTTTTTCTTTTGATGAACACAAAAGAAGATAATTTGAAGAATACTGTAACCATTGACTTACATAGTATTTGTTTTTCCAGTGCTCTCATGCCAATTCATTACTATCTGGTTCGTATGAATTTGTACAATCTTACACATTTCACTATGATGTACATCCAATAACAGTGGTGCATGGCAGTGGTCCCCAAACTTTTTTTTTTTTATCACTGCGAACCAGTCATTGCTTAGGAGTTTTATTTTGAGGCGTCTTTATAGGAATTTTATTTATGTATAAAATTACAAAGCACTGCGGTGTTTGGGTTTTTTGTGTTTGTCTGAGATAATTAGTCTTATTGAAATTTGTATATTCCATACGAGCTGAAACAGATCGGTCAGTTGTTGTTACGTGACTCGCAGTGTGTTTGCGGCATTCATTCATCTGGGTGTGTCTGGAAGGCGCAAGCACGTCAGGCTGCTTGCGCGCACAAGCCGCACACCTTCATTGGTATTAACCAGGGCCAGATGGTATCTGCGGATGTTTTTTGCTAGAATTGCAGAGAATTTTGGTAAAAATCTGTGGATTTCTGCGGAATTATTTTGGGAGTATCATGACTAAAACCTTAATATATGAATTAAAAAGTAATAAACTACTGAATAAAAACTGAATGAATTCAGATATATACTTTTACTCAAGTAAATAAACAGAATTAATAATAGGCTAAAAATCTGCAGAAATCTGCGGAATTCTGCAGAAAATCTGTGGAATTCTGCGCGTGCAGATTCCGTGTGGGCCTAGTTATAACGAACTTGCACGAACTCTAGAAAAGACACAATATGCGAATGGTCCCCTAAAAGGCTGCCATTGTTTGCAATCTTCAGCAGTTGATTTTCTTCTTGCAGAGGCATGGTGAATTCACCTCATTTGTTGACTAATATGTTGTGGATCCAATCCTTGGCAGTTCATGGGTCCTTGGGCCTTTTCCCCTTTGCAAAGAAACTTTACAAAGACGTCTGTTCCTTACTCATTTTGCTGCTTGTGGGTTAAATTTGGGCACTCAAGTGACGCATATGTAAGTGAGAGAATACAGTCATTTTTCAAAAAGATCGTTCAGACTTTAATAAATAAAACAGAAATAATTTATGATTTCTTGTGCGGCCCGATACTAATTGATCCATAGACCGGTACCGGTGGTTGAGGACCATTGGTGTATAGTGTCAAGTCTCCTTTATAAAACTGTTTCACTAAAATTGTATGAATTTGTAGCCATTAAATTGACAAAGAGTTAAATCAGGCTAGTTTTTTCTACAATGGATGTTAATAGTAACATATTTACAGGTTTCTTCAAAATAACTGCTTTGTTTTCAACAGAATAAAGACACTTATAAAGGTTTGTAACCACTTGAAGGTGAATAAGTAGGGAGAAAATTGTCATTTTGGGTGAACTATCCCTTTAAATATGGCATAATGAAAATGGTTTGTTGTGAAACATTGAGTTGTCTAGGTTTCTCATTTATGCCCATGGTATCATACAGTGTTACACTGAATAACAGCATAATTTTTGGAAATTTGAGGAACACACAAAACAATAAAAGCAAAACAAAACAACTCAAATGTTTCACTAAACTGACATAAAAGCAGAATTCACTATCTTGCCTGTCCACTTTATTTGTTTGGAGAGAAGTAAGTGGTTTATTTATGTTCTTCTGCAAAATATATTTGCACGTGATATTCACATCAAAACAGGGCAGCTTGACAACATACAATTCATTCCTGTTTCCATTAGTGCAGCTTGGATGATTAATGAACTGTTCAGTGTTAAGTATTTCAGGTCAAGCTGCCTCTAGTTTTGGCAGAACGATTTATTCAGCTTTCCACTGAATCGACAGGGGATCCGCTGAAAGCAGTTCACAGTTATTATTTTCTTACTGTCTTTTATTAATATTGGAAGAATCCTCAAAAATTAGGTCACAGTTATTGTTATATATTGTTCAAATGAGAAATGTAATAAAAAATTGTCACGGGATTTAATTATGATTTTACTGCCATTTTGAGGTAACAGTAAAACAAAGCAATGATCATTTTAAAGAGAACATGCTGCTCATGAGGAAAATTCTTCTGTTACGATCTTGGGATGAGAGTCAGAGAGGATGACAGTTTTTAATTAAAACGTGCTTCTACCTACATCAATCCACAAGTAATATTGCAAAATACTAATAATTAGGTCAGTTTTTTAATTTTAGCTTTACACAGCAGTTAATTTTTCATTTAAAATAAGCATAAATATAAACACTTATTCTAGGTTTTAACACAGCAAGCACAAATCATCAATCAAAATGACAAACAGGAAGCATTGCACGATATTCTCTTTTGTCATATTTCAGTACCAAAATATGACATTATTTTTAATTTACTGTTGCTTAGTTACATGGTGCATGATTTCAGTATATTTATTCTTAAGAAAATGACAATATGTTTCCTGAAAGTTAATTGATCACAGTTGTAAGAAACATTTAAATACGGTGTTCCTAATGTTTTCTTTTGTCACATTTCTCTACTAAAAAAAACTCTTTATTTCACTGCACTTTGTTGCAGAGTTCAGGGATGTGATTCTTCTTTATAAATTTGGATTTCCATATTTTTCGAGCTCTACGGGGTGTCCCCTGTAATTTGCGTAAATCTGAAGCTTTTTTGGGTCTTTTTGAGGAAGGGGAGTATAACATAATGATATTGTTTTGTCCTATATATAATGTGACAAAGCCGCTGACAATATGCAAGATTATGAAATCACTTTGAATGTGTGAGCGTCTGTGCACTTTTTCTGTTCTCACATTTGCATGTCACGACCACATGCTCTCTATTATAAATAAAACCGCAGGACGCACATTTGTTATTATTCTCTGCAAGTCATTTGTCCTTATGTCTTTATTAATTCAGTACACCCTAGCATCTCAAATTGAATACCTGGAAGTGTCATAACTTTAGATGATATTACAAATGTATAAACATATATTTTATAATTTATTGAAAACAAACTAAGCTGAAGGAAATGGAAAGTGATTTTTGTTTCGGGATGGAATGTTAAAGAGACTACTCAGTTCAACTGGACTTACTATATTTACAGTTCAGATTGTTGACTGACTAGTAGTGTATTTATTATGCTGGATTAAGAGTCGACTAAATTACAGGAAAAGTCATGTTCTGTGGACACAAGAGAACTAACCCAGTTAGTGGCGCCATCTAGCCGCAGTGTGTGGATCTGTCCCGACATTAAAGTACAAAGTATAAACCTATTAAATATTACTTGGGTCACTATTAAACGTTTAAAGTGATAAAACAAAATTTTTAACTTAAAATGTGTAACTAATATCAAATATTTATATATAGAATATTATTGTTTATTTATTTATTTATTTATTTATTTATTTATTTATTTATTTATTGAATTATTTCTATTATTTAAAAACACACATGCACATGTCTTCTTTCTTTTTTTCTCCTCGCCTGATCACATGCCTGATAGTCAATGATTTTAGTATATTATTTCCTAAGAAAATTGCATTGCATACCCTGTAATTTAAGTGATTACAGTTAAATGTAATATTTTATTATGGTGTTCCTGAAAAAAAAAAAAAAAAAATCTTCCGAGATTTGTATTCAAGTTAAACAGTTATAAATGTCGAGTTGCCCTATGTGTACATAGACTTTTAGTAGTCTTTGTGAGAACATTTAAAGTGTTTATTTTCAAGTTTATGGAGTTAACTGTTCATGAATGGTACAAGTTTCCATTTTGAAGATTATTTGTTCTTTTTGGGTTTATTATGTACTTGTTCTTGTTTGCAATTTTTTTAGATCTAGCAACTCTGAGTCAAGACATGCCTCATTGCCTGTGATTTCTTGCGCAACGCATACAGAATAAAAAGATAAATCTGATAGCTTTTCAAGTACTTCATGAACAACTAGTTCTTCAGTACAGTTTAGAACACACAGTGTATTATTTCTGCAAATGTGGTTATCTCTGCCTGCAGTTTTAAGGAGTTAATTAGAATGCAATTTTGTTCCTGTAAATTATTGAACTGTGTTTGTACAAAACAGGATTAAGCTCTGAAAGTAGACCTGGAATAAAGGGCTTTTAAATGACAAATCATTTCCAAGTAAATTGCAAACATTGTTGCAATTCTTTTTTTGTTTTATTTTTTTCCACACCATTACATTAATACAAATGAAAAAAAAAAACCTTAATTAATGCTCGTTTAATGCAGCAGGCTTTCAGCACAATTTCTTTCAGATGTTCAAAAAGCGGGTAAGTAGGTCAGCATTTTAATTAAAATGAAAATGAGATAAAGTCTTTCACGTCATGTAATGCTTATTCATGGAATTTGACTAAACCTAATTATTTTTTATATACTTTAGATACATGGTACAAAGCCGCATTTGTGTGTCATTGTGTGTATTGAGCCTATTAGGTGCAGAACTTGTCCACAATATTAGTTTGTTTAAGGAGGCGATACTCAGAGTGAATCAAGTTTCAACCATTGTATAGATTCAGCACCATGGAGTCAGTTCTTTTTAGAATGGACTCCCAGCCCTACTGACATTCAACTTCAGTTTGTGACCAATAAGTGTGGAGCCAGATTGGTCTCAAAAATAGTACATTTACAAAATAAAATTCATACATCCAAAATACAATTAACATTTACAAAGTCCAATTTGTAAGTTCAAAACACAAAAAATACACATATCCAATTTGTGAATTCAAAACACGATACAAAAATACACAAATGCAATTCAAAACACGATTCATAAACACAAATCTAATTTGTGAATTCAAAACAAGATTCAAAAATACACAAATCCAAGTCATGAATTCAAAACACACGATTCATAAACACAAATCCAATTAATAAATTCAAAAGACTAATTCAAAACTACAAATACAGTTCGTAAATTCAAAACACAAATCAAAAATTCATTTATTTTTCTTTCGGCTTAGTCCCTTTATTAAATGGGGTCGCTACAGCGGAATGAACCGCCAACTTATCCAGCGCTTGTTTTTACGCAGTGGATGCCCTTCTAGCTGCAGCCCATCTCTGGGAAACATCCACACACAATCATTCACACTCACACACTACGGACAATTTAGCCTACCCAATTCACCTGTACCGCATGTCTTTTGACTGTGGGGGAAACCAGAGCACCCGGTGGAAACCCACACAAACGCGTGGAGAACATGCTAACTCCACAAAGAAGCGCCAACTGACCCAGCCAGACCCAGGCTCAAACCAGTGACCTTCTTGCTGTAAGGCAACAGCACTACTTACTGCTAAAAATATTTATGATCTTTACTTGTGAATTTAAAACTGGACAAATTGGATTCTGTAAATTGTTCTATGCATGTATGAATTTTATTTTGTAAGTGTAGTATTTTTTAAACTGATCTGGCTCCATAAATATGTTGTTTACATTTCATTTGGTGTAAATTTAAGGTGTTTATGTGATCCATTTAATGCAGTCATTTTTGAATACTCGTGAGATCTTTATCCTGATCTGGTTCCTCTCTTTTCCTGTGGTTATTACGTATCATCTCTCAGCTTACACTGTCAATAAAAATACCAAAAAGCATATAAAACAACTCCATTGTCAGTGTGGGCAGAAAGGAACGACCTTTACGGGAAAGGAAACAATGCTCTGCTGTCAGAGTAACAGCGAGTGCTGCTCTTTTAGCCTGTGCCGGACATGATTTTAAAGGGCTTTTGATTTCACAATTAGTCTTCCAGCCCTTTGATTTGCTTTTAGCGGTGAGCAGGGAGGTTGTTCTTTGCCGTTTTTATTGTCAATCTATTGTGTAGATGATCCACATTTGGTCAGCATCTCTGTTTTTGACCCGTGCCTGCTGCTTTTCTGGCGCACCTCCAGCATGCACTGTTCCAGATTGTATCTCTCGTTTTCATAGATCAGTTTTAATTGCATCTCAAGTGTGCTTTGTTTGTTTCCCGCTTAAGAATTGATTAGCTCAACCTAAATTAATTCCCCTTTCTGTGTATATGTTTTTCTTCTAGTTTGGAAACACATGCTATTGCAACTCGGTGTTGCAGGCTCTGTATTTCTGCCGGCCGTTCAGGGAGAATGTGTTGGCGTATAAAGTCCAGCAGAAGAAGAAGGAGAATCTTCTCACCTGTCTGGCCGACCTCTTCCACAGCATCGCCACGCAGAAGAAGAAGGTGGGCGTGATTCCTCCCAAGAAGTTCATCTCACGGCTGCGCAAGGAAAATGGTGAGGGAGACAAAGGGTCAAGGTGTGGCTGGTTAACATGACCTAGTTAAGCCTTGTTTGCTAACATAGAATAAACTGTCAACCATCCTCAATAGATTTTTTTTATTATTCTTTGCATACCGCAACATGTAATAATATGGCCATGGCTAACTCACGTTCAGAGTGAGATCAGGTCAGCAATCTGAGGTGAACTTTTACCTTTGATTTGGATCAGGGGTGTCTAAACTCGGTCCTGGAGGGCCAGTGTCCTGGAGAGTTTAGCTCCAACCCTAATCAACACACTAGTTTGAGTTTGAGCATGCGAAATTCTGTAGTACTTTGTGCAAAAAGAGGGAAGATTAAACAAGATGATTAGACATTTTAAAAAGCGATGGATTGACAATATTTTAAATTTCTGCACAGAGAGGTCATGTTTTGATCTTTGATTAGTCTTACACAGCCACGTGATGCGAGTTCACCAAGCTTGAACTTTCCAACACAGCGAACTGCGAAACTTGTTGCACGAGCTTGCAATTCCGGTCTGTTGCATTTGCATGCTTATGCATACGAATGGAAGTGTATGGGGAGAAAAGTGCAGTGTGACCGCCGCTTTATTAGATATACTAGAAACCTCCTGGCAGGTGTGTTATAGGCAGGGCTTAATTTGTGCCGGAACATGCTGGATACGGCACCTCTGAAATCTTCTTTTTACCGATTTCCCCTCCTTAACCGCCCTCCTCCCCATCCGCTGTAACTTTCACTTTCTTCCGTGACTCCCCACCCCGCTCTTCACTTTCATGCGCAACACCTCTCTATCCTCGAGTAACATGCCGGATCCGTTACCCCGATTTGTTCCGGGACCTCGCAATTTACAAATGAAGCAATGGTTTAGGAAGTTAGACCTAAACTCAGCAGGACACTGGCCCTCCAGGACTGAGTTTGGACACCCCTGATTTAGATGAACTGTTTTAGAATACCAACTTGAAACTTCAAATATGAGTACAGAATAACTCAGTGTACAATATCCTTCAGTAGGTCAAACAGTGCTTCAGTCTCTCCCAATCAAAAATATGAAGTTATGTCATAAAATGCATAGTCTTTTTACATATATTTATATATTTATATAATGTAATATATGTATATCCTTTTTTGTTTTTGCTCTTTTATTCAGTATGGATTCATTAGAAAAATTATAGTAAATATTTGTAATAATAAATACATTTTCATTAATCAAAGAATATTGGGGGGAAACATAAATCATGCATTGAAAGTAGAGTTTTCTATGTTGGAACACAAATAACCTTAATCATTCAATAATTTTTTTTAAATGCATACTTTTGAATTAAAGATTCCATCTCTGAATGCCTACACGATGGAAGTGAAATAGCACTGAAGTTTGTATTTGCTGTTTTAGAATTCTTTAAATGAAAAATTATCTAAATGCATGTATATGACAACAATATTTGTTTGTTTCTGTCAGCTTCATGAACATATTAGTTTTGCTTTCTCATGTCTCTAGCTTTATAAATGCAGCTTAACTAGATAATTAATGCATAAAATTGTCCAACCGCTATAAAAATAACTTTTGCACTTTTAATTTGATGCAGACATTGAAATGAGACATCTCATCTTTGACCTAAATATGTCCATATTATCAAATTTGACAAATTTAAATATATATTATTAAATATTTGTGTGTGCAATGTGTTTTATGGTAAAGATGGTAGGCAACTACTAGAGTTGTAGCTGGAGTTTAGACAGGAGAATGTGAAAAATCAAATCTGTGCACACAACAGTAAGCCTCTGTGCAAAATGCTGAATGAGAAGCAGGTGTAACGGATCAGGTGTGTGTGTTTGGAGGGAGAAGGGAGGGATGATATGTGGTATAAAAGAGGATTTGTTCTTCTGTCTCATTCCAGAAAATGCCCTTGCTATGAATTAACAATACAGACCTCTATCAGAAAGACGTCACTTTTTTAGCTACACACACACACACACAGAATTAGGTATGTGACTGCACATGCTGTGGCATTTACCGGCAGTATGCTCAAGTTTTAGTTCCTCTCGGTTCACATGACTGCATTGTGTGCAAAATACTGCCTTATTCCTTATTATATAGACCTGCATTCCATTAGCAATTGATTACTTTTTAAAACAGAGTTTGTCATTTACTCTAGCACACACAAGCTGAGTGATGCAGTGATATAGAAATAATATGCAATACTAATAACCGATATCGCTTTATACTTGAAAGTTGATAACTGATATATTAAAATATACTCTGTTTTCATAGATCAGTAAAAACAAAAGAGCTGCATAATGCATGCCAGGCCAGTAGATGGCATCGTCACTTCGCATCTTTGCACATACACTATAAGAAATGATTAATTGGATTTACAAGATTTTGGTAGTTAAAGTTAAGTGGTTGCAAACAATTAATATGTGCTGACTCTAAACAAAAGAAATAAATTGAACGTTACTAAATTTAATTTGTTGGTTTAAAATTAAGCTCAGAGACTTTACTTTTTTTCAACCACGAGTGCATGGCGTATAACGTCATAAACACAAGGCGCAGCAGGCGGTTAAAACACAAGGAGCACAAGGGCATATAAGCAGCATCCAAAACGCTCACTGCCATTAGTAATTTATTCAAAAAAGGCACGTTTGGTGTGATCAACTCCTTAAGATGTTTATAATAACATAAAGAATAAGATAAGTTATAATTTTAGAGATAAGATTCATATTTTATCATGCATTTTTAATGGTAGTTTAAAATTATGTCAGTTTATGGTTCTGTTATCTGTTGTTTGTGTTAGGTTTAAATTAAGCTCATATCAATTCTTTGCAACCACTTAACTAAAAAATAATTAATAATTGTTTTTAGTGTACAGTGGCCTTCCACCATTGTTGTTTTGGTTTTCAAGTGCTCGCAGATGCTTGTAGCCTGAACACATACTGCAATGCTAATGCGCATATGGATCAACATTTTCACTAAATCTTGTTCCCATAGCTTAAGCTTATTTTATTTTGAGGCTTCCAAAAGGCTAATGCAGTGTAAATAAATGGCCAAAGCAAGTAAAAGGTTTTCCATTTGCTACATAAATGGTTGCTTTGTCCACAGATGCTAGCTAATTTTGCGTTTTTGCTCTCTGGCTCCTCCCCTAGACCTGTTTGATAACTACATGCAGCAAGATGCGCACGAGTTCCTGAATTACCTGTTGAACACGGTGGCTGATATCCTGCAGGAGGAGAGAAAACAGGAGAAGCAGAACGGACGACTGAAGAACAACGGCACTGCCATCGCCACAGACACAGAGCCGGAGCAGAACAAAATCGACCCAACCTGGGTTCATGAGATCTTCCAGGGCACACTGACCAATGAGACGCGCTGTCTCAACTGTGAGACGGTACGAGGGTCCTGATACATCGAGGGTTTACTAAAGTAGTTAGTTTAATATAGGAATTGATTGTTTGAAGTTGCTGCTGATTTAAAATTCTGGCAGATTGTGCAAGGTTTTTATCATTTTAGGGGCCGATCACACCGAATGCACTTCTACGTGCCAAAAACGCGAGACAAACCTTACTTCCTTTTTTGTTGACAAGAGAAAAAGAATTGTGGTGTGCATTTTATGTCGCTAGGCAAAGACTGAATCAGCTGTGTATTGTGCACAAGTGTTGCTGTTGACATTAAAGGTGCAGAAGGTTATCTGCCAAAATGCTAACCGGCTAGCATATTATCTTTGGACTGCAGAGAAGGGACTGATTTAATGCCACGCCTCCTGAAGTCACGAACCCACGCACCATGACATGACAGCAGACAACCCACTAGCTCATGTTATTCGCCAGTAAGAAATGTAGTTAGTGGTTGGTCGGCGGCATCCAGGAATTACACTCATTACTAAGCCATACATACATGCTACTTCAGAGTGAATATTGAGAGTAGCTTGGTGGAATAGGGCTTTTTACTTATGTTTTGTAGTTAAACTTAATAAAAATCTACATTATTGATGCTGTAAAGGGTCTCTTATAAAACTTGAAATAGTCACATCAATCTTTCAACGAGAGATTTCAGTGACTGAACAACACTTCTGTACATATAACCCATTCATAAAACAACACAATCTACATCAGCTTTGCGTGACTAAAATAGTTTCAAAACAGATCATTATCTGTAAATTTTTGATTTACTAATATTGAGAGATTTAAGATTTGTGAGTCATACAGCACCGGAAAACTCAAAACAGTAACCACAAGTCTCTCCTCCATCTTCGAAAGTCTCCAAAGTTGTCATGACAATACAAACACTGCAGTCACCTCAACAATATATATATATATATATATATATATATATATATATATATATATATATATATATATATATATATATTTACGTATTGCTCTAAATCTTGTGTGTATTAAGCAGTGTGTACGCTAGGTGCACAACTAACATGCTCTGCGCTGGAATTTAGACTGGCTTTGTTTTGGTCTATTGAAAAATCTATTATATTTCTCAAAATAGCAACGCACCTCAACACGCCTTCATTTTTAGACCAGAATGCCTATGGGCGCACATATGAGCGCAAATGCATTTGCAATTTAAACAGCGTGGCGCAAAATGTCAAAATGACTCTTGACCCAAGCTGAAACTAGCAAACACCAATTGCGTCGCTCCATGCGTCGTGCCTTGCGCCACATTGCGCCGGGTGTAAAAGAATATGATAAGCAATGATTTTACAGATAATATTATTATTTTATCAAGCATTTTTTAATGGTAGTTTAAAATTATGTTGCTTTATGGTTCTGTTATCCTAATTGTTGTGTGTTTGCTATTTTATATTTTAAAGCAATGAGTTTTTTTTTCTGTTAGTTATGTATATAGACACGCGCATTTGAATAATTTTTCAGATTTCAGGAAATATGATTTTATTTAGTTTACTTGCCAAATAATTTTGTTTAGTTTAACCTCAAAAATATATATATATATAAATTTAATATATTTTATTATAAATATATATATATATATATATATATATATATATTCTTTTTCTTTGGCCTTAGTCCTGTATGGTTGCGGGGTCGGCTCTTGGGAACAAGCCATTTTGGACTTGTCCATATGATATGGGCTTTATATTGTTTTAAAAAGCCACAAATTACTACTATTCTAATTAAAATTAAATCACAACAATTAATTAATTTAATGATAAAAACTAGTCACTCATATTCAAATGAAAATGCTGATATGTAACATCTTCAGTAAAATAGTGAACTTAACTTAAAGGATTTATAAATAATTCTGACAAACATATGTGATCATGTGTAATGGTTTTTGCTAAATCATTATGAGTGGTCATTCGTTTGAACTTTGCTATTTGATGAAACTAACTTTGGTTTCTCTGCCGTGTGGCCCACTTTCCAGTCTTCATTTAACCTACTTTTTTCCGCATTAGCACTCTACTGCTCAAGTACAGTGGAGTGCTAACACCATATCACACCTTCGCTCGCATCTTTCTGCAATAAGTGCAAAACAACAGGAGACAATCAGGTCATCAGAGTTCAGCCCATTCTGCTGAAACACTCCATAGAAAAAGGTTTTCGGAGAAATGACTTTCCCACTAACACTCAGAGACGGCTAATATTGTCTCTGTGGGAAAGAAGATCACGATTTCTGAAGAGATGTGTTTTCTCTTCTTTGTGAACTTACATGCTCTCTGTTTCTGCAGGTCAGTAGCAAGGATGAAGACTTCTTGGACTTGTCTGTAGATGTTGAGCAGAACACTTCAATAACACACTGTCTCAGGTAGACATATGCACAAACACAAAACGCATAACATTAATCACACATGCTGATGCGCATAACTAGCTTATTTCCACCGGCGTTCATGTGTGTTTTGTCTAATGGTGTTGTTTACAGGGACTTCAGTAATACAGAGACCCTGTGCAGCGAGTATAAATACTACTGTGAGATGTGCTGTAGCAAACAAGAGGCACAGAAACGGTGAGTAATATTGCAAATCAGCCTTTTAACAACTATAGCTAACTGCTTAGATCCAGAGTGCCCAAACTTTTTTGTATGAAGGGCCAACTACCAAATATCATTATGAGCCCTGTGCCAAAGGTAAATTTACCAAACTGTATTACATAAAAATTGCCATGGGTAATTTCCTAATTTATTTAATAATTTTTCAAAGTAAATAGAAAACATTACTTTAAATTGTATTAACTAAATGCAGTATATATTTTTTTAAATTAGAACTTATTGTAATAAAACAAAAACAATCACATTTATAACACAGTGGAGTTCAATGCTGAATACACTAGTCAAGCAGAATCTGCCTTGGACTTGATTTGCTCACCAAAGTCTGCATTGTCGGGTGGCAGTGTGTACATTTAAACTAAATCTGATTAATTTACACAATTTAATTGAAACAATTAATTTCTGTTAGCTTTTAAAAATAAATCAAACAAACATTTTGCATGAAATTTAAATGGACAATCTCAAAACCATCCCCATCATTTTCCTTCTCCTCTCAGATGGTATGGCGAGCCAAATCAAGGGTTAAGCTTTAAAAATGAGTGATGAGGTCATCTCATACTATTTTAATCTTACCATCAGGTACACAAGTCTGTGTGAAATCAAAATTTACAATCATTATTTTGCCAGTGCACATTGTTTTTCTTTAGTTGAACACTTTAGTTGTATCTGTTCAAGTTAGTTCACTGAAAAAACGTTTGTTTTGGTAATCTTCATTCAAAGTCTGACCATTTTCTTTCATGTTTGGAGTGGCAGTCTCTCTCTGTAAAAGTCAATTTGACGGTTTCATCCACAATATTCTTAACCACACCTCTCTTACCGTTAGTTTGCTATTAGGGAATAATCTGCAAATAGAAAGGCGCGCCTCCTAGCAACTTTCGGTTCACATGGACTTTAAGTCTTAAAATCACAGAAGTATTGTGTCCTGTGTTTTAAATAGGTGTTATTTTTCTTTTGTCCTTGTAACAGCACATCTAATACTAAAAGTTTCTTGAGCTTCCCTTAAAAACATAAAAATATTTATATATTGATAATATGAACTGAATTATTTAAAGAAAACCATCATTATAAAATGTTTTGTTGAGGTATGTGATGTACAGTAGCTGTTGTCAGATGCATTATTATGTTGGTTTTGCGACAAAAGCCTGAAGACAAATTTGGCTTTAACGTCACTGTGAAATAAACTATATATGGCTGATTCTGGCGTTATAGACGTGACATTTGCAGTGAAAATTCAAAACATAAATTCAAAGAAAAAAGTATACGTTAACATATTGAAACATATGTTTATATGTTCCAAAACAACTAACCACAGAGTTATAAAATAAAATAAAAATTCAATCTGTAAACATTTTTTATACTTTAAATTAGGAAAATAAATATGCGTTATCGATGTGACGAAAAAAGTCAGCGAGTTTACAGTATACAACATACTTTGTAGAAATTCTGTGAATTAAACTGCACAACCCAAAATAAATAATGTTCATCAAAAGGATAAGAGTTGGCTCTTGATAGAACAAAATTATTGTTTTTTTTTTTTATTTTGTCATTTTTGAGGGAAAAGCTTTGTTATGGATGTGACACTTTTAGTTATGGGTGTGACTGATGTGAAATTGTCACTTGTGTGACTTTGGTGAAAAAATGTGGAAAAAATAAAAAAAAATGTAGAAATGGTTTAGCTATTTTGGTGAAAACATTTTTATTTCCATGGCAAGGTTGACATTTGCTAGGAATTGCTCATGTATATTGTTTTTTAAATATATCTGCTTGTTAAGTTGTAAGGTTTCCGGGTCCCAACTGCTACTCATTTGAATTGAGAAAATATTCATTTATGACCACTTTTTAGTCATACCAAACTTTAAAGGGAGTTTTATATAAAATCATGGTGTACACAACAGTCTCTGGACTTGCTGTGCCAGACACCAATTTTTAACAATTCATAAAAAATGATCAGTTTCTGGTCGTCTGATATTATGCATGGATTCAGTGTATGTGTATGTGTGTGTGTATGTGTGTGTGTGTGTGTGTGTGTGTGTGTGTGTGTGTGTGTGTGTGTGTGTGTGTGTGTGTGTGTTGTGTCTGTGTTGTGTGTGTGTTGTGTTTGTGTGTTGTGTTTGTGATTTTTAAACAATTTGTTAACATTTATTTCCATTTGTTGAGCCTTCCCGTACAGTTTGATAAAGCGCTTGGACCAGAAACTGCTTTTTTAGGACATCACACTTAACAAGTGGATAGGCTAGTAAGCTCCAAAATACCTAAGGAGAAATATGCATGCAAAGCGTAGTCTCAGTGATTCATAATGAGAGTTTGACTCCGTAATTTTGATGACCTCTTACACTGAATGCTGTATTTTAAAGCACAATAAAGGAGATTAGTAGACACTGTTAGACTTGCTCTGTGCAAACCATCTGTGTGTGTGTGTATGTTGCAGTATGCGTGTGAAGAAGTTGCCTATGATCTTGGCTCTTCATCTGAAGCGCTTTAAGTACATGGAGCAGCTTCATCGGTACACTAAACTGAGTTATCGTGTGGTCTTTCCACTGGAGCTACGCCTCTTCAACACCTCCGGGGACGCCGTCAATCTCGACCGCATGTACGACCTCGTCGCTGTGGTGGTCCACTGTGGCAGGTATGAGAACTGTCAAACACACACATCTGCAACGTATAAACACAGACACTGCTAACGCTGTCTGCCAGTTTGGTACATTAAGTCATGTGTTCTAAATGCTGATCATATGAGCAGTTGGAGTCTCAACATTACGTGATGCCAATATATTTTCAGTAGTGGGAAAGTAGATTATATGTCTTTTTTTTTGTTTAAGAGTAATGCTGATGTGTTATTCACAAAATGTTTGCATTTTTTAAATAGAAACTGAATATAAACACTGTAATTGTGTGTATTAGTGGCCCAAACAGAGGGCATTACATCACCATCGTGAAGAGCCATGGCTTCTGGCTGCTGTTTGATGACGACATTGTGGAGGTATGCAACTTTTTTTTTATGATGTAATTATAGTTATTGTTATAGATTTATTATAAAATGTAAGTTATATGAGTTATATTATTATTTTAGATTTATTATAAATTGTAAATTATATGAGTTATAATATTAAATATTTATAATAAAATGTAAATATATTAGTTTTGTTATTATAAATTTATTATAAAATGTAAGTTATATGAGTTATATTATTAGAGATTTATTATATAATATAAATAATATTAGTTATATTATTAGAGATTTATTAAAAATGTTTAATTATATTAGTTATATTATTATAGATTTATTATAAAATGCTAATTATATTAGTTGTATTATTCTATATTCATTATAAAATGTAAATTATATTAGTTTTGTTATTATAGTTAAATTGTATTATAGTTATTAAATAAATAAGACTTGGTAAACATTAAAAAAAATTCTCTACAAAGCAAATGAAGGAGCATAATCACACCATACAGTGCTTGTGAAGGGTTGCATTTACACACCACCAGTCAAAGTTTGGAATCCGTAAGATTTTTGAATGTTTTATAATAAGCTTATTCTGCACACAAAGGTTGCATTTATTTGATAAAAAATAAAGTAAAAAGTAACATTAAAAATACATTTACTTTTATCCGTCACCGTGAACCTGATTACAAGGAAGACATGTTCCTGGTACAAGCATCTATATTGATTCTGGAACAACATTCCAATCAGATTTAAGGGAAACGTTTACAGTTTATGTTAAGTTTAGGCTTATGGTTAGGTTTATACGGTTAGGTTTATACACTTCTACTTGATTGTTAGCCAACTAATATTCCCATCTGATTTTTGGAGTAATTAACAGTTATGGTTGGGGTTACAGTTAGGGGTAGGGAATAGGTATGGATTACATTTTCGTATAAAATGATGTTTCAGGATCAACATAGATGTTAATCCAGGATTACATCATACTTGACAAAATCAGACTTTGCTATCCATCACAATAGATTGTTCAAGCATGAAAGTGTATACATTAATATTGTATAAACATTTTTTTAAAAAGATTGCAAATAAAAGCTATTATTTTGAACTTATTCTTTGAACTTCTCTTTCCAGAAAATAGCCGGAACGAAAAAAAAGGGCCTGTTCAGACATACAGACCTTTCCGGAAAATTGCCGGTAATAGGAGCTAAAGACTGAAGTAATAATAATGAAAATTCAGTTTTGAATCACAGAAATAAATTAAATTTGAAAACAGTTTTTAAAATTGTAATAATATTTCACAATTTAATAGTTTTTACCATATTTTGGATCAAATAAATGCAGCCTTAATGTGATTCTTTATAAACATTAAAAAAAATCTTAGTGGTTCCAAATGTTTTTGGCAGGTAGTGTACATAAAATAAAAACTTTTATACACGTGCACTATACAAAAACTATACTGCTCTCTCTTTTTTCCCTATCCATCCTTCCGTTTCTCCACAGAAAATAGATGCGCAGGCGATAGAGGAATTCTACGGTTTGACCTCTGACATTTCCAAGAACTCTGAGTCGGGATACATTTTGTTTTATCAGTCCAGAGAATGAAGGAGCAAAGGGGAACAAATGAAAAGCAGAGGAAGAACAATGAGAGAAGAGATCAAAATAGAGAGTATATGTGAAGATGACATCCGCTAGATTCCCCTTCCACATCCCTCTCCTTTTCCTCATCTCATACTCAGGGTCTCCTGCTGAGACTGAGTGCCAAAAGCCCTCTGTTACCCCATTTGCCAATATGATCTTCAAATCTGACCGTTAAGTCAGTCACCTGCATCTGAAAGGCACTTTATAAACAAAAAACGACAATAAAGAACACAAAAGCAACATGAAAAGGAAAAAAAATGAAATATTCAACAACAATACTTGTGAAAACTTGAAGGAATCAAAAAGCTACAAAAGGAGCGACGAGTCCTGGTACTTTAGCAAGAGTCACTGATTCTTTTCTGCCCAGGAAAGTGCCTCTCATCCTGGGTATCTGAAACAAGGAAGAGGGTTTCTCTCTCTCGAAACCTGGCTAAAGGTCAGGCACCCATTTCTCGTCACTTTAGATGTTTTAAGCTGTGATGCCCACCCATCAGTCTTCGTTCAACTCTTAGGGGCTTTTCACACAGAATTCGTTTTTGCATTACATCAAGCTGCTTTTGCATTGTTTTTCTTTGTCCCGATGAACTAGATGTTTAACTGCTGCATTCAAGTTTTGCTCTTAAGTTAAAGGAAATTCAACTTTTTATGCTTGGTTGGCAGGCTGGCTCAGTGGTTAGCACTGTTGCCTCACAGCAAGAAGTCTCGGCTGGGCCAGTTGGTATTTCTTTGTGGAGTTTGCATGTTCTTCCCGTGTTCTTGTGGGTTTCCTCCGGGTGATCCGAGGTCTCCCACAGTCCCACAAGACTTGCGCTATAGGTGAAATGGATTAACTAAATTAGCCACAGTGTGTGAGTGCATATTTGAATGTGAGAGTGTATGGGTGTTTCTTAGTACTGGGTTGAGGCCAGAAGGATACTCGCTGCATAAAACATATGCTGGAATACTTGGCAGTTAATTCTGCCTTGGGCCTTGATAAATAAGGGACTAAGCTGAAGGAACATAAATGAATGAACTTGAATGCATCACTTTTTTTTTTTTTTTTTTTTTGCTTTGTAACATTAATATAACATAATTTAATAATAAAATTATTTTATATATATATATATATATATATATATATATATACATATACATATATATATATATATATATATATATATATATATATATATATATATATACAAATTGGATGGATTCGTTACAAATTTGCATTGAAAACATAGTATACTTAGCCTTTTTTTATACCGAATTTAAACCACAAAAACTTGTTCTGTGTGAATTGCCCCTTATATAGTAGCTGGTGAATCCAAACATCCTTGTTGAGTCCTGGTCATCTGATTGGCTGTTTGCACTGTGTGACCATTTGTTGGGGATTTTGGTATGTTGGTCTGTTACATGAGCAAGTGTGTGTGCGTGCATGTGTTTGTGCCTGCATTTAGACAGTAAATGCAGACAACTGCTTTGAAATGACTTTGAATTTCATTCAGAAATAGTTAAGAAAAACAAAGAAAAAGTACAGCATTGCAGCGCTGAATCACTGCTTTTGTCTCTATTGTATCCTTATCTAGCATTGTTGTTACCTAACTACCACCATAGGTAATGGCCTTACACAGACGTGTCTGATAACAACCTTGTGGTTTGCTGTTGGTGCGTAGTTCAACAAAATCTGCCTGTCCCGACAGATAATCCCACTAATTTTCACTCTAACCTTTAGTTTCTACCCCAGCTGGGTTGAATGAAGCAGTTCTCATTAACTATTTGGCATTGTGGTGGCTAATTAGTATGATCTCATTTGTACGTTACTCTTATATGCCTCAGTCATAGTTGTGCTTAGGGTTTGGATTAGTATAGTCAAGCTTACCTTTTTTTATTTTTTTTAAATCACGTTTTTTCGTAATGAATTTCTGATTGGCTTCTTATGTTCTTACGGCTGTGGGTGTGCGATATTTACAATACAATACGATAATTGTTGTTTTATTTATGTGTTTGTTTATTTAGATCCCTATAAGCCACCACAAACATAGTAACCAACAAATAAAATTACAAATTTACATCAAATCATCATCAAAACCCATACAATTAAATTAAAACAACAGTAACAAATAACAAAACGAAAATTCACACTAAATCATAACAATAGACACCAATACCACAACCAAACAGACAAATTTACATTAAACCATAATTATAGAAACAATACAATAAAACATAATTTGGAATTTGTTTAAAGCATTAGATGTATCAATTAAATAAAGTACTATGAAGATTTAGAGAACCGTAGACCATGAGTATACGCTGGCATTATCAAGTATGTCAATTAATTTACAAAGAAAACACATTCGAATCCTGTTTGAATGACTCTTTAATACTAGTCATAGAAGGAAAAGAAAGATTGTTTGGGTTTGTGTTTTTGAATTCATTGTAAGACCTGATATAGTTCAATAATATTATACAAGCAACAGTGCTGCTTTCCGAAATATCAGCATTTGGGTACAACTGCTAGACCGTTTTATTCAAAAGTTCTACAAACAAGTTAATACTGAGTTCATGATTGAGTTATGAGTTCAGATATAATAGTGAGTATGTTTATATGGACACTAATAATCCGATTTTAATATGATTAAGACAATACACTGATTAAGAGTCTAATATGTAAACAGAGATTTTTGTTTATTTATTTTTTAATAACCTTAATCTGAACAAAATCGTAATCAAACTAAAAATAAAAATAAATTGAAGTAAGATGTGGAGTATTCCTATTTTAGTGGCATTATTGAAGATCAGTACAGACATGTTAACACCTTAAATAAAAACTATTACCATCATGTAGTACTTTTTGCTGTGTTTTACGACAGGATATTCCATACACATATGGCTGTTTGACATTATTCTCTGCACCTACCGAGAAAAAAAAAATTCCATTCAGCATGAGATATTAAATTCCATTAAAACAACAGTCCTTTCTTCATACTCTCATCCAATACCTCAGTTTGACACAGAAGCGTAAATGAAATGTTTATTAATAAAAGTGAAACTGCCGATCTGCAATTTAAGTTGAATAATTAAAAATGAAACATTCGAAATTACATGAAACTCCGGAGGAAACGTGGATAGCGAGGTGATGCAATGACATTTATCAAATTATGTGCTATAACATGTAAAACGGGATCATGAAAGGAATATTTAAAAAGCAACTAATGTAAACACATTAATCATATTATTTTCTTAATGGGATTAAGGCAAATAATTCGATTTCTGATGTCCATGTAAACATACTCACAGTCTCAATAGTTTTGCTAATAAAAATGGTTCCAAGCCAGGCTGGAGTGGAACATTTTTACCAGCACAAAATTATTGAAATGATTGGAAACCAATTTAAGGATCCAATAAATATCGAAAAACAAAAATATTGTTAATATCGCACACCCCTAGTCTCACCTTCCCTTTTCCCCTTAACCATTTTCTCTCTGTCCTCAATTCTGCTAGCCTTTCAAGATTAAGCTAACAAAATAATACAGACACACACACAAAAATCTGCTTGTAAACTTTTTTTTTTTTTTTTTTTTACATGAAATTGAGTTGTTTGAGTCCATGATAAAATCCACCTTTTCTTCAACTAAATAGACATTGTATACACAAGATGATGTGGCATTTCATTTTATCAATACTTGTTAGAATACGGAAGGTCTAGGACATTTTAGAAGAAACTTGAAATGCAACCACAGCCTTGAGATTACTGCAATGCGGTATGTAAAGTATCTGATATAGGACGTCACTTAAGAACATGCACACAATTATTGTGGCATTAATCCAAGAGGGCTTTTAATATTTAATATACATTGTACTGTTAGGAGAGCGTCTGCCTTTGGATAAATTAGGAGTTTTATCGAAGACAGTGCGGGGAAGTGTACTGATCATAAATTACGAACATTTCATTTTGTATATATGTATATGGAAGAGGCTGACTTAAGATGAAGGGAAATGATGTGCAATACAGGGATAAAATAAACATTCCATGCTTAATCTTTTTAGCACATTTAGATTTTTTATTTAATTTGTAATTATTCTCACAGAAACACTAATGATGAGTACTCTGCTTATTTAATGTATAGCTTTTTATGTGTAATTTAGTTAACATTTACTAATTTATTCTCTCTGAAATACTGTTAAATAAGTAACCGTACTCTGAGTGGAAGTAGCCCATGACTGAAGTACTTTTTTATTTTAGTTCTTTCTACATTTTCTGCACATTCATCATGACACTAGAGTAGATAAGCAGAAAAGAAACTGGTGGACAGGTGTTTTCTAGATTCGTTCATTACTCCACATGTGCTCTAGTATCTATTGTAGGTCTGTATTTTTACACTCCTCTACATCATTATATGTTAAAGCCAAACTACATGCAATACCGATGTATGAACACTGTAACAACACAATGTGAGATTGACTATGCAGTGTTCGTCCTGTTGTTTCTCAAGGCTTGACAGATGCTGACTATTTTTTGGGGGATGGTAGCTTTTTTATTTTTCATTTGCATTTCACAAATGTCTGGTTCTCAAAAAGAGCAGCATATGTTGCTGTATGGGGTTGTTTTATTGGTACCAAAACCATTGATGCGTTCCAATTCACATAGCCTAAAAGTATGCATTTTGTTTGTAAAGGAAAAATATACACATTTGAGTGTGTAACAGAAGAGTATGCAAGTTTTGGAACATACTACTTACTCATTAACAGATCGTTATGTGGCTCTGTTAATATCCCCTGTAAATCATCTCAACACAGGATAATCTGCCACTCTCGAGTCTTAAAAAGCAGATAAATCTCCTCAGGTCTTCAGGTAATTATGCGTTCAGACGTTAATGTCCACACATATCTTAAAATAAGTTCACGTTGTTGCAGATGAAATATACACGAAAAACTCGATTTAAATATGTTCCAGTTGGCTAGATATTGATTAACAGTCA